CTATAAAGTTCCAAAACATTTAGCCTTGATATTTCATTGAAGGGAAATCAAACAAAAGTTTAAATGAATATCCAAGGATGATGTTGCCTAGTTTGGTTACAATTGGCATAGTAATTTCAGATGAGAATTTTTTTTTAAAGTTAATGTGCAACGATGTGATAAGCCAGTTAATGATAATAGCTCACACTGGCCAATGCAAGCTTAAATAAAATGCTCTGCAGGGCGCAGCTTGATACGACTGCAGAGGTCGAACCCTGAACAGTTGGGGCAAGTATGGACACAACATTCAAGCTTGATACAGCTCTGAATTTGGATTGTGATTTAATATTTGACTGTTGGTACCATAACCCCCAAAATCAATCCCAACCTTCCTTTTGTGGTATTGAACCTTATGGTAAAATTTCATAGAGATCCATTCACTTAAACTTAAGTTATAGTGCGAAAACCAATGTGTCTTCGGACGACGACGACAACGACGACGCAAACGTCATACCAATATACGACCGCAAAAAATTTTTGCGGTCGTATAAAAATAAACTACCCACCAAATCAAAACCTTTTTAGTATCCTTATGCTATGGCAAACAAAAATGTTTTTTATTATGGTCTTATAAGTCCTGTGGACTAGGGGAAATTCAGGAAAGCATTGTTTCATTTGAAGGTAGACTAAAATATTTTTTATTATAAAACATGTACATACCCAAGAAACAACTCGGCCATTAAAACATGGCAACTTTGCTTCATCATCAACAATTTCTTCTTTCACAACACTGAAATTATAAATTTAATGTTGCAGATTTTCTATATCAATACATTGTACATTTTAAATCAACAAGCAACATTCAATGCTGGAGCTCAGATTTACAAAGATGTGCCTCATTTGTGCACATGTTGCTTAAAGTTTGTTATATAATTTGATTTCATTAAATTTTCATATCACTTAAATAGACACATACACAATATGCATTCAGTTTTTGTATTTACAGTAAATAATAACAGGACAATAAAATAAATATAATGTTCAAATGATATGATCAAGTCAGCCCTTATACATAAAATCAGCATTTGCATGTGCAGTACTGATGTCAACTTTTTGATGATAATAATACAGCTTTTTCAGTTTGATCCAAGTCAGTTGTAGTTGTGTTCAAGAACTTGGCATAGACCTTATCGCTTCCAGTGAATCTGTGTCACTTGTCCCGCAAATTTGCTACACCAGAACTACAAAATGTATCTATATATATATATATATTGAGGTTATATAACAATCCTTTTTCCTTGTGGTGGCAGACATTTCTCTTGTGACATCAAAATTTTACAGGAACATCTGTGGTGTCCAGTAATGATATGGTGTATATATATATATGTTTAACTAAAACAAGCTACATAAAGTTGAGCTGTAGATTACCTGAATCTGTCAAAATATTCATATTTCAATCATGCTTACAAATGATTTTAACTGTCTTTTTTGTGGTATAGTGTAAGCCTACAGCGTGGGAGGCCGTGGGTTCAAATCCCTGCTGTGTCAAGCCAAAAACTTTAAAATTGGTATTTGCTGCTAATCCCGCAAGCACATGGCATAAAGGAGTAAGATCAATGATTGGTCAGCTCAGAATCAGAATGATGTCCAGGTAGAGACAGATTTCTACCGATGAACTGATATCTTATCCTTAGGACATTCAACAGCCATTCATCATGTCCATCATCATCAAATAATTTCAATCAAACAGTCAAAAAATAGATAATACTTGCATGACTGGTATCTACTAAGCTATGAAATAAAACTGACATTCACATGTTTGCAACCCATGTAGATTTGAAAAATGTTTTCCTTTAGGATGACCTTTCAACTGATTAATGATGTCAATTCAGATCTAGGATTTCAAGTAAAAAGTTACCTTACATTAAAAGTAAGGTCACTAATGTTAAGAAATAAATCATCCCAATTTATCAGGCCATGTCACAAATTTTGTTGTTAAAAGGAACATTTTTCCCCATTTCTATGTAGCAACATTCCAGAAGCACCTGTATATATATATATATATATATTTCAGTTGGTATGATATTCCAGAGCTTGTATTTCCTATCATGATTTTTAAGGAAGGTATTAAACTAAGAGCTCCAAGAGGTGAAGCTGAAATCTTTCATTCTAAAATTTTAAGACACCAACACGAGTTGGTTGGCCGATGCAGAATATCTGTTTCATAGCGGTACAATGATTTCCGGGAAACTCTCAAAAACTCAATATGAACATGAGAACAAATAAATCATGGATTTTTCTAGCATTCCACAGGGTCCATTATTCTGACCCATTCCCAATGGCAAATACCCTACATTTTTCCCAATTTTGGGAGCAAAATTCCCAAACAATCTCAAAATTTATTTTCATCTTTATTATTCATGACAGCGATGTTCATTTTGTTCAACCGCTAGCTTTATGCCGAAAATCGCCAACAAGTAATGTGTAAATCCGAGTAAAATCGTATCTGACTGACAAAAACAACATTGAAAAACAATGGATGCCATAAACCGGAAATGAAGAAATGACAAACTTGATCGCTGACTGTGGAAGGTATGCCTATAAATTTTCCTAATTTTGATAAATAACTTAATCTTTTAAAATTTATAACACATAGATAATAATTTTCTACCTTTTGAATAATTATGTCCTTCATATTGTTAAACAAGGAACTTGCATACACAAAGACAAAAGTTAAAAGTAAAAATGACAAAAGTCATAATTATCAATCAAAGCAGTATAACACCATATAAAATCAAGTTTTCCGTGAATATCTATCAGGGCTCAGGTTCATATTAAGTGTTTAGGAGAAATCTGTACCCGTTTCACAGATGATGACGGATATGTTCCAATTGTCAAAACACAAATCAATCCGGGTCTGTTCGCCCAGAATCATGTTCACTCCCATTCACGTTCACACCCTTTTTGTTGGTTTTGTGTTGAATATATTTTAAATCGTGTTTAAGTTAGTGTACATGGTGTATTGCAATGAATAAGATTTTTTGGTTGTTTCCTCAAAATAAAGTGACATTCTAAAAATGTAAACAGGCTTCCTTTGGTATTTTATTACATTATTTTGACGAAATGAATCATGAATAAAAGATTGTCATGAAGATTAAGGCAAATAAAATTGAGAATGGAAATGGGGAATGTGTCAAAGAGACAACAACCCGACCACAGAACAGACAACAGCAGAAGGCCACCAACAGGTCTTCAATGCAGCGAGAAATTCCCGCACCCGGAGGCGTCCTTCAGCTGGCCCCTAAACAAATATATATACTAGTTCAGTGATAATGAACGCCATACTAAACTCCAAATTGTACACAAGAAACTAAAATTAAAAAAAGTTCATTCAACTAAGACTTGTATTATTAAAAAAGAAAGGCGGAAGATACCATATCTTCAATTAGTTTACTCATGCCAAGCTAACTATGCAGAATTTACATCAAAGCTAGTTGTAACAACAATCATTATTTTCAAACACAGAACAATACTACCAAACAGTAATCATACATAATTAACATTTAATAATTAATCATCAAATCACAAAATAAATATTTCGGAAAAAAATTCATGAATTTTTATTAGTGTAAATTTGAATATTTTGATAGATACATCTAAAAAAAATTCCAATAATTCAACCATTTGAACAAAAATAGGTTGTAAACGAACCCAGGGGGGCGAATGTGTGGGGTGCGATCTGTAGGGTGCAAACGTGTATTGGGAGCAAACGAACAAGATACCAACCAAAATCATGTCCTCTTTTCCTCAATTGAGACCTATCTAATATGACTTATCATTGGGTTTGTACTTACATGAGCAACAGGACAGGTGTCCCATGTAGAGCAGGATATGCTTACCCTTCTGTAGCACCTGAGATCTATGGTTTGTTAGTTTGTGTTGCTCAAAATGTCTTTTGATGGTTTTTGCCATGGCATTGTCCGTTTGTTTTTGATTAATGAGTTTGAATATCCCTTTAAAATGTTTCACGTCTCTCTTTTTACATTTGTCAATTATTTGACCATGTATAATTAATGCCTACTGGTTGTTTTACTCATTCTGCAAGCATGACAGTATAAATAACTACTCTGGAAATATGAAACAAATAGTATTGCTTGTACCTTGATCTTTCATGATAATGCAACTGGCCTTAACTTACCCGAAGTCATCATCCACCGATTTGAAGAAAAATTTGTAATTTGGTCTGTTTAAAGCGTTCTTAAAATCACCAAGATTTACACGATCTGCGGGAATAGGTAGTTTGATTAAATAGGGAGTGTCTTCGTCATCTATATAATAGATGATTTTGGTCTCCTCCATCCCGAAGGAGGGAGTCTGGTGTTGTTAAATCCACAATGATTATCAAGTTTCTGTGGAAAATGGCGTCCAAATGTTTTCTTCTGTTCAGTGCCAAATTGAAACCCGTATGTCAAGAAGTTTATTTTCGTTTTCGAAAATAAAATTTAAATATCCTAATCTATAACAGCACTTAGTTTCAAAACATTGATATTTCTATTTAAATTAAGAATTTTTCTACTTCTAAATTGTAATGATTTTCTCCAAATTCCTATATAGAAGTATTCCTTTTTGTCATTTGCTTTGTTTCGGATTCCATAATCATTATTCAAATGGGTCTCTAAAATTTCTTAAAAACTAGTGCCCGAAAAAAGCATCAGATAACATTTTTTTTATATAAATAAATAAACATAAATAAAAATATAGAAATAGCTACAACTGCAAAGGACTAAAACGTTATTTGTCCCATCAATTTCATGAGACATGATGAATCATCCATTTTTCAATAAAACATGTAGCGATATTTGGTTAAAAAGAAATACAATAATCACTTGACGAAAGATTCCGTTTGAGACACTGATTTCTTAAAATTTGATTGTCATGTGACTAGAGGAGAATTTTCCAAAGAAATGTTTCTTTATTTATTTTTTTCAATTTTTATTTGTCAACATTTATTCACTGCGGATTTTGGAAGGAAGCACTTCCGCCAGCAACATATTCAGAATTTTCAGCATCACGATGTATTAAATCAACAAGTTGGTAATTTTGGGAGTTTAAAAACAGCAGTTAAGATTGATATATCAGGCCTGTTGAAAATATGTCAAGCCCTCTCAGTAATTGTGGTCCCAGATTTAATTTGTTAATGTAAAGGTCGACACGAACATGGCCAGACTTGGTGTGAAGAATGCGGAAACCACAACATAAATTCATTACAACGTTTTATGACAACAACCAATCGTTAACGCCAGTTTAATCTATTTCTCTGTAAATTGACATTATGAAAGTCTGCAATTTTACAGTGTCCATTTCCTATGAAATCCATATACCAAGATTGTGACTGTGACCCTTATGTACTAATATAAGTGTCCTTTTTCAAAATAATTCATGAAGGATGTGTAAATATACATGTATATGAAATGAAGTTGAATGTTGGAGAAATTTGTTGCATATATTTTGAGGTAATGTTTTTAAAAAATTATCTCCAAGCTCCTTGTACGCCAATGAAGGATACATGTACATGGAATTAAGAAACATGTTTAACTTCACACTAATTTGTTAATCATTTATCGCTGATAAAGTTTATCACACCTCTCATCAGTAAATTGAATAAATGAACTTATAAAAGAAATTTATGAAGAAGTAGATTTTGAAGTAACTGCATGACAGACAAAAATTTTAAATGCAGTAGGCCAAGTTAAAATTGCTAAACAATGTATCTGCCATGATTTATGATTATCAAAGGTCTTTATTGTAAAAGAACATGTAAATGTTGATTTGCTTAATATCTCATAAACATGATAAAATTTATATGCTGTATGGTGTAGCATTCAGGTTTCCTGTTGGCTAAAGGCCAAACAAATAAGTGTGTTTACTGTACCCCAACCAGCCCAAAATTATGAGTGCCTACCCTTATATCTTTTCCGCTGAAAATTAGAAGAAATTATATTTTCACCATGTTCACCAGCATTTTTTGCAGCGATGTTTTTTTTTTTCAACCACTAGCTTTATGCCAAATATTGTCAACAATTTAATGTGTAAAACTGAGTGAAAACATATCTGACTAACAAAACAACTTGACCAAATAGTTGCTTAACCATGAATTTAGGTAAATGTAATACTGGAGTTGATTCTGTAACATATAAGGCTACATTGGGGATTACTGATCCATCCAATAAAAAAAAGAATTGCCATCCGACTAACCATTTTTGTTGAGCCTGCAACTTTTGTCGCAAAATCGAGACATAGCGATCCTACATTCCGTCGGCAGCGTCGTCCACAAATATTCACTCTGTGGTTAAAGTTTTTCAAATTTTAATAACTTTCTTAAACTATCCTGCATTTGTACCAAACTTGGATAGAAGCTTGTTTATAATCATAAGATAGTATCCAGAAGAAAATTTTGTAAAAAAAAAATCCTGTTTATCCGTATTTTACTCATATATGGACTTAGTTTTTCTGCCAGTTAACATAACATTCACCCTGTGGTTAAAGTTTTTCAAATTTTAATAACTTTCTTAAACTATCCTGGATTGGTACCACACTTGGAAAGAAGCTTGTTTATGATCAAAAGCTAGTATCTAGAAGGAAATTTTGTAAAATTTTATATCCTGTTTTTCCGTATATTACTTATAAATGGACTTATTTTTAAAACATTTATTAGATTCATAAACCTTCTTGGATTTTTACCAAACTTGAACAAAACTTCTAACAATCAATAGATAGTATCTAGAGGAAAATTTTTAATAATTTTTTCCCTATTTTTGTTGAGCCTGTGACTAACAGCAAAATTAGGCGAGACACTGGGTTCCATGGAACCCTTACAGATTTTTAGGTTAGCAGGCGAAATATGTTAAACTGTCATGTGTTTATATTTTTATCAATTAATACTGTATATTAACAACAATCATCATGGTACTGAATGATGCTTCACATTTACAGGATTTAAATTTTTTTATTTATTTTAAAATAAAGCACTTTTTCTAAAACCACAATTATGCCTCTTTAGTGGTATTCATATCTTGTGCATAAATACAGAAAGTGGAACAAAACAGCATTAATATTTCAATGGAATAATTTTTTTTTATATTGAAGGTGATGATTAAGCCTAAAACTGCTCATTGTTCTATTTTGCTTCTAAAAGAATGCTTTGTACAATGGATATTTTAGGAACAAGTTATATGTTAATATATTGAAAACTAAAATAGTTTGTTGTATGCAAAACTGGGGTTTTATTTTTTTCAAAGTTTCAAGTGATAATGTGTCTCCCTTTAAAGAAGACTACTTAACAGAATTTATTTTTTAGCAGTATTTCTTCTCAAAATCTAGACTTCAGGTTCCTTTTCCTCTTGTTCTAATACAACATTGTATCTTTGGACATAGACAATTGATGATATATTAAATGTTCATGTACCATTAGAGTGTTAATTGTCATGAAGACTTTCAATTTTTTTTATGCCCCCGCCGTAGCGGAGGGGGCATTAAGTTTTACCCTTGTCCGTCCGTCCATACGTACGTCCCAAAGTTGGTTTCCCTTCTCTAACTTTAGTTTGCCTCAACCAAATGTTATGAAACTTATACACAATGCTTATTACTGCTAAATGCAGATCAAGTTTGAATTTTGGTGGCGTCACTTATACTGTTCTAGAGTTATGCTCCTTTACAAATGGAATAATTGTTAAATTTTTCTCTTTTTTTTTCTAAATATCTACTCATTTTTAAAATTGAAGTTATCTTCCTTTGTCCATGATTATAGTTGAATCAACTACAATCAATGCTTTATACAATGCAATGTTTAATTTTGCCTTCCACTGATAAATTAAAGCAATTTTTACCCTTCATTTCTAAAAATATTTTAAAGTCTTCTTTGAAAATTGGAGTTATCTTTCTTTGTGCATAATGGTAGTTGAATCAACTACAACCAGTGCTTTATACAATGCAATATTCAATTTTACTTCCTACTGTAAATTAATTTGTTTCCGTTTTCTAACTTTAGTTTGCCTCAACCAAATGTTATGAAACTTATACACAATGCTTATTACTACATAATACAGATTAAGTACGAAATTTGGTAGCGACCCTTGTACCATTCTTGAGTTATGTCCCTTTATAAACATAAAAATTGCTGAATTTTTTGTTTCCGTTCTCTAACTTTAGTTTGTCTCAACCAAATGTTATAAAACTTATACACAACCGTTCTAGAGTTATGTGTGTTTACAAATAGAAAAATTGCTGAATTTTTAGTTTCTGTTCTCTACTTAAGTTAGCCTCAACCAAATGTTATGAGACTTACACACAATGCTAATTACCACAAAACTCAGATCAATTTCAAATTTGGGTAGCGTCACTTTTACCGTTCTTCAGTTATGTCCCTTTATAACTATATGATGTGCAAGCGGGGGCATCATCTGTGTCCACATGTGGACACTATCCACATTTTTTAGAAATTTTCTTTTTCATGTCTTTACTTTTTTTTTTATACTGAATGTATAACATTAGGATTTTGATATTTTGCATATGGTATTTATTTTTTAATGCTCCTTAATAGTTTGTCCCTATGCCCCCTTTCCATTTCATAAACTAGAATATCTTTGATAATTGCCAAAGTAACCAGCCTAAGCTTAACCATAAATATTCATGAAAAGACCTTTCTAGTGCATTAGTTTTGTTCTTAGGAGTTAAGCCCACCTCTCAAAACATAAATTTATAAATTGTTTGTGTATTTTTTACCTGTTGAGAATTCCATCCGTAATCAATATACATGTATGATCTCAAATGTCATGCCAATATCTTTCTTTGCATCAAATATTTAGTGTTGGAGTTACATTGATAACTGCAGGCCAAGGGAGACATATGTTTTAGTTCAATATAACACTAAATCCAGTGTTCCAACCAGGGCCTTATAGCACCATGGTACCATGGTTCTATTGAAATAGATTTTACATGTATAATAGAATGTACTTTTATAAATGTAAGTTATTTTTTTGGGGAAACAATGGTTGTTAAATCTTTTAGTGCTATTTGAAAACACTGGCAGCAATGAATTCCTCCTGGTTTAAGAAAGTTTTCATCACCAATTCTTTTGAAAGTTTTATACAATGTAAAGGACTAAAAGACAAGTTACGAAAAGAAGTTTGTTTTAATAGAAATGCTCTGAAGATTGCACAGCATTCCCATATGTTCAGAAGGAGCTATTTCCCCTTAAATATAATCAATCATAATAAAATTGAGAATGGAAATGGGGAATGTGTCAAAGAGACAACAACCCGACCATAGAACAGACAACAGCAGAAGGTCACCAACAGGTCTTCAATGTAGCGCGAAATTCCCGCACCCGGAGGCGTCCTTCAGCTGGCCCCTAAACAAATATATATACTAGTTCAGTGATAATGAACGCCATACTAAACTCCAACACTTACATCAGAAAAGTGGAATTCTATTGGGGTAATTTATATTATCATTATACACGGTTTCTTGCATTTTATTGTTTGTACATTCTGAATATAATTGGCTTTACCTTTTAAGAAATTGTAAGATGTGACACAAATTCCATGGCAGTAAATTCTGACCCATATCCTAGAAAAATAGGTATGGGCACTAAACCACTGTGTTAAGATGCAATGAAGATTTTAGAATGTCAGAAGACAAGAAAGGAAGAGACATATTATTATGTTAAAAAAGTCAAACTGAAATGTTTGTGATAGTCTCTTTCTTTTTTCCCCTTTATGTGTACTCAATCTTGAGTATTATATATATCATTAAATGATCTAAATAATTCACTAGAAATAAACATCTGGAGGTCACATATGTGTCAGAAGAATAGAAAGGGAGAGACATATTGTTAAGGTAAAAAAAAATCTGAAATGTTTGTGATAGTCTTTTTATTTATGCCCTTTATGTGTACTCAATCTTAAGTATTGTACATATCATAAATTGATAAATAAGTCACTAGAAATAAACATCTGGAGGGTGCTATATGTGTTGAAAGATGGGACAAGCACTGACATTAAGTTGCAAGCACCAAACTACTAAGAGACTAAGAGCCAGTCAACTTGTGAATAAAATCGAAACAGAACTTAATTCTTTTGTCATCATTATCTGTTACTGTATTTTGTTTGTAGATAAGTAACTATGCTAGAAGTTGGTTTGCGAGTGACTCGTGGACCAGATTGGAAATGGGGGAACCAGGACGATGGTGAAGGTCACATAGGGACTGTGGTTGAGATAGGGAAGCCTGGAAGTTCGACCTCACCTGATAAAACAGTTGTTGTGCAGTGGGATTCTGGATCCCGTACCAACTACAGAGTGGGCTACCAAGGAAAATATGATCTTCGTGTGCTGGATAATGCACCTGTTGGTGAGAATTTTTTTTAATAAGATATGTCATGCAAGTTCTTAAAATTATGTTTTAGATTCATCAGAGGTCACTAATTTAGTTGTGGAATTATAAAATAAAAAAAGGTTATTGTAATATACTGTAAATTCAGAAGTTATTGTAATATACTGTAAATTCAGAAGTTATTGTAATATACTGTAAATTCAGAAGTTATTGTAATATACTGTAAATTCAGAAGTTATTGTAATATACTGTAAATTCAGAAGTTATTGTAATATACTGTAAATTCAGAAGTTATTGTAATATACTGTAAATTCAGAAGTTATTGTAATATACTGTAAATTCAGAAGTTATTGTGAGGTTTTTATTAATGCAAATAATGCAACTGAATGAGTATCTCAATAATAAGAACTCGCATTCTTATATCTGATACATATAAATGTATGCAGGTTTTCCTGAGGTCGCAATAATTAATCTCGCATGTTAGTCGATTCTACAAAATTCACAATGATAAATGCACGCAATAATTCTGAATTTACAGTAGTTGACTCAGTACTTTCATCCAGCAAAAGGAAGAAAAAGTAAGTACTGTAAACCAACTAATTTTCGCTGGCAATGTATTTTCACGACTTTCGCAATTAGAAAAATAACGCAAATATATACTATAGTTTCACAAATATGTATCAATTGGACCTTTCCCTATATAAATATATCATGCCAAATCATGACAATTAGAAATCACGAAAAGAAATTGCCACAAAGTTAGTAAGAAAAGGCTAAATGCGAAATAAAGTATCCACTAAAATAAGTTGGTTTATAGTAAATGAATCTCACCATACATCTGATTCTCTGAAATCAACAGGTCAAAACAATGTTTGGGTTGTTTTATTCAACTATGCTGGATCTATGTGACCACTCTGGATTTTGAGATGGTGCAGAATTCTAAGTTGAAGACATATCATGAAACTAATTATGTGTTTTTATGACTTGCAGAAACTTTATACACCATTTGAATCATTCATTAACTGCCAACTTTTGACATGTTATTTGCCCTTAAATTAAGAAAAAATTGGCTGAACAGCTACTTTATTTTAGATATACACTTGCATATAGTTCCTTTGTAAATCAAAATTTATATTAAATAAATGAAAAATCAAATTTAAACAGTTGATAAGAATGATTAAAGTATTTTATCAGTATCTTATGTTCTTGTAAGTTATTGAATAAAATTTGATACACGATGTGTTGAGAAAGTGTATTTTCAAAGCTTCTTTCTGGAAATTATGAAGCCAATAATCATTAATGGCATATAAAAATACACTACTCATTTGAAGATTTCCCTTTTCATTCTTGTCAAAATCGTTAAATTGCAAATGTTTTTAAAAAAAAAGATGTTAAAAAATCTAACCCTGTCTAAAATTGAAATATCAAAATAATTTGCAACAATATTGCGAAATTCTCCATCTTTGGGCTACAGAATAGAAATTTTACAATAAGATAATGGAAATAAAATAAAAAAAACATATTGAAAGTATGGTTAGAAAAAAGTTTCAGACAAGCTACATGTACAAAGTTGGCTGGATCACAACATCAACAATGCTTTGATTTTTATTACAAAGGTCAAAGTTAAAAAAAAACAAAAACTTTTAAGTCATAACATGGTAGAAACAATTCTTGCTGTTATTCTTTTTTTTATCCGAAACAATTTCACTTTTTCATGTAAGATTCTCGGTCCAAATATGTCAATTCAAAGGTCAAAGATCAATGTAGTAATATAGCACATAGTACAATTGAAAACTGTTGTTCAAAGTTCAAGTGAGTCTTAAAGGATGTGCTTAAAATGCCATAACATTGAACCATTGTCTGTTTTGTTGGTTATAGGTACAGCAAGTCTTAAAATGCCATAACATTGAACCATTGTCTGTTTTGTTGGTTATAGGTATAGCAAGTCTTAAAAAATGTCACTACATTGAACCCTTGTCTGTTTTGTTGTTTATAGGTATAGCAAGTCTTAAAATGTCACTACATTGAACCCTTGTCTGTTTTGTTGATTATAGGTGTAACAAGTCTTAAGTATACAATGTGTGGACTCTTACCTTTCCATGTGTTATTTTATGTGTTTTGAACTTTAAACTCTTGATCATGTTGATGTTGATTATTTTCTGTGTATTACAGGCGTAAAACATCCAAACATTATATGTGATATCTGCAAGACCCAGGGTATCTCTGGAATGAGATGGAAGTGTACCAAGTGTTTAGACTATGATCTGTGTACAGATTGTTATATGAATGATAAACATGATCTTGGTCATGCCTTTCTACGTTTGGAAACATTTTCCTCCAAAGGGTAAGTTATTTAGTGATGACAGGTACAATACTCAAACTCAAAAGTTTTCATATTTGTAAGAGGGTATGTATTATTGACTTACAATTAATTAATATAGTTTTGAATGATTGTTTTGTTAATTGCTGTTAACACTTTTCCATAATCATTGATATATCAAAGATAGAAAATTTACTATATAAAGTGGATTTTATAGTTATCTACACTTACATGGGGATTTAACAACCCTGAAGTAATTGAGTTGAACTGTAGGTGGTGCCAAAAAGTAACAGAGAACTGCAGAGTGTTAAAATCTATATATGTAAGGGTTTTGATGTTGATAGAGTCTTACCGACTATCTTAACGTGTGGCATTTAGGGTAGTGGCCTATCAAAGTGATAAGTCTTCAATATAAAGAACCTACTTCCATTGGTCTATACAAAAACAAATGCCAACAATAACAACTTGTTAGCTTTTAATGTGTTTGCTGCATTTATTTTAATCGTTCATCAATTTCTTTGTTTGTTAAAACGTTTCAGATTTTACCTCAATGCCGTGTTGTTTTTATAAAGGGATGTAACACCACTACTAACCCAGTATTAGAATAAGCCCAGCCTACTAACCCCATATGAAATATACTCGGTCTCCACACGGTAGCTTTTAACCAATGATATTCCTAGAAATGTGTATGAGGTTAGATAAAATATATGATTAAGAATAATACTGGTACACTAGTCAGAAAAGCAGCATTGATTACTTATCAATTCCTAGTGAATTAGTTAGTATTTCAATTAAGAAAACATGCATTTCATCAAAAAAAAATTTAGACTGCCTTTCAGGCCACTGTGTACTGTAAATTTATATACAGACTTTATCCATTGTCAACTAGTTTAACATACAACATATTTTCTTACTTCATTTGTATTTGTATGTATACACGTTTGATTTCAGAGTAAAAATGCCAAAAAGAAAAGATACTGTGAATAGTACAAAAGTGAGAGCCCAGGGATTAATTAATGGAGCAAGAGTTGTACGTGGACCAGATTGGGACTGGGGAAATCAAGACGGTAAGTCTGCTTACGTTATTCCACAGAAAGTTCAATGTATTTTTATTTTGATAACACAGTAACACTGATCTGTTTGTATTGTAAATCACAGTGTTCTCCCCAGGATTTTTTTAAGGCACAAAATTCAAGGGTGCGTAACTCTTTTTTTTAGAGTGATCTGAAGCAATAAGTCATAAATCATGACATGCAATATGAATTATAATGCTTTGTGTTATGTGTTTAATAATGCAGAGTATTAATGAATTACAAGAATATATATATGAAATAAATTGATTTTAAACACAAAAGTTATTTATATTCAGTCAATTAAAGAAGTCAAAATATAAATATTCATCTCTATTCTCTGCTCCTTCTAGGGATATTGTTTCAAGATAGTGTTATTTTGTTGGACAGTCTGTTCCTCAACTTTGTCTTTATCCTCTTCAGGGTTAAAAATTAAACCCCCACTCACAATAACTTTTGCTTATACCCCCTTTAACATTTCTAAGCCATGAAAACTCAGTCAGCCACTTGTCATTGAAACCAGAAACATGGTGCTTGCTTTTATCAATTGCTAAAACTTGAGCTTGGTTAGGATTAGGAGAAGCAATGAAATCTGATTATACTGACAGTGTAGACGGAGGTGTATTCCCCTTTTCATTAGTAGTCATTTGTCTGAAAAAAACTACTTCCATCATCTACCTTTTGCTTATAATTCACCCCTTTGTTATTGGCAGAGAACATGTTCATTCATAATTAATAAAATCGAATATGGTTAAGATATTTGGTATACAACTTTTTAAAACAATTTTTTTTTATAAATGAACAGCTGACCAGTTTCCGTAGTTTCACATTACGCTTCCGTGCGTATTATTGTTTAATCCTATCTTTGGCAGATAGATATAAACGAAACTTTACAAATTCGTGAAAGTTAAAACCATTGAAATTATTTACCAGTGACATTATACAGAAGCTGTGGCGATTCTGTACCCGTGTTGATTGTCACATATTTCCCGACGCACGGATTCACGATCGATGTTCAATGATCATTTTATTTCTAAAAATATGACAGTTTCAGACGAATTTACCTTGCAAGCAACATTTTTTCACTTTCTATTAAAGTAAATCACTCCTCGTTATCTTTAATCAAACTTTATTTTAATTTTTTCAACTACTAATACTTTCATTCATAGTTTTCATCGTAAATATCTTTAGCAATGTGTATTCAAATTTATCATGTGTATTGAACACGTTCATTGGTCATGTTTAAATAGATTCTTCTTCTTGACCAATGAAAAAATTCGTTATATAAATGGTCAAGTGATCACACACACGATGTGTAAATACAATGTATTTGCGATCTATTTCTTCAATTTCTGCACTGAAGTTTTTAAAATTTTTAATTTTCTTCAAAAAATATCTATCTTCTTGATGATCATTTACGCTATTACCTGATAACATAGTCCGATAAGCGTGGCTCAGGTAAAACTAATTATCAGTTATATTGCGTAACACTGACCGACCCATCAGCGGCGATCAGTAACTTGACAATTTTAACCAACATTTATATTGAAAATGTGAAAATTAACACGCTGCGGGATCAAGTATTAAGGGACAGCTGCCAATTAAGACGCTGTGGGATCTACAAAAATATTATGAAGGCGCTGCCGCACCGCAGCGTCATATCAGCCTGGGGAGAACACTGAATCAATTAAAGACTTTATGAAAAACTTATTGCTTTATGGAACATATTTACAAATACAAAATTTAAAATACATGTAAAGTGAAAATTAAATACACTATAAATAATCAACAATACCTAATTTATGAAAATGAATACACACTTGAAAGAACACATGCAGTATTTATATGACAATGTTTTTAGGTTCTGGATATTTATGTTTGCATTTAAATAAACTAGAAAGTAATAAGAATTAATTGTAAAATTTACAATCATCTTTTAACAAGTTTTGTAGCTACTGATTTTTATACGACCGCAAAAATTAAAAATTTTTTGGTCGTATATTGGTATGACGTTGGCGTCGTTGTCGTCGTCTGGCGTCGTCCGAAGACACATTGGTTTTCGCACTCTAACTTTAGTTTAAGTGAATGGATCTCTATGAAATTTTACCACAAGGTTCAATACTTCAAAAGGAAGGTTGGGATTGATTTTGGGGGTTATGGTACCAACAGTAAAGGAATTAGGGGCCAAAAATAAGCATTTTTGTAACTTCCAGACATAACTTGTGTGTTAGTGTATGGATATCTCTGACATTGTACCACAAGGTTCCATATCACAAAAGGAATGCTGGGATTGATTTTGGGGGTAATTGTCTCAAAATTTTAGGAATTAGGGTCCAAAAAAGGGGCAAAAAAACAAGCATTTTTCTAGTTTCATGCCAATAACTTGTGTGTAAGTCTATGGATCTTTCTGAAATTGTACTACAAGGTTCCATATCACAAAGGGAAAGCTGGAATTGAGTTTGGGGGTAATTGCCCAAAACGTTTAGGAATTGGGGGCCAAAAAGGGGCCAAAAATAAGCATTTTTCTAGTTTCCAGACAATAACTTGTGTTCAAGTGTATGGATCTCTCTGAAATTGTACTGCAAGGTACCATACCACAAAGGGAAGGCTGGGATTGAGTTTGGGGGTGATGAATCATAATGGGGTTCAAAAAATTTGGGGGGGGATTTTTTTTTTTTTCTTTTTTTTTCTGTTTTTCTTTTTTTTTTTCTTTTAAAATTTTCCATTTTAAGTTGGTTATTACTGATTTATATTTAAAAGCAAATAATAATGATATGGTAGGAGATACACACCAAACAGGATGTGTAAGTTATTATATAATAAGTATTGTGCAATAGCAAGAAATTGTCAATTGCACAGTATTGCACAATAGCAAGAAATCTTCAATTGCACAGTATTGCGCAATAGCAAGAAATCTTCAATTGCACAGTATTGCGCAATAGCAAGAAATATCCAATAGCACAATATTGCACAATAGCAAGAAATTGTCAATTGTACAGTATTACGCAATAGCAAGAAATATTCAATTGCACAGTATTGTGCAAAAGAAGATACTTCGTATAAATTGCTTATAACTTGATCAATTTCAGTGGGGTTTTATTCTTGAATTCTTGGGGTTCTTTAATATGCTGAATCTAACCGTGTATTGAGTTTTTGGATTTTGGGCCCCGTTTTTAAATTGGTCCACATTGAGGTCCAAAGGGTCCAAAATTTAACTTTGTTTGATTTCGTCAAAAATTGAATTATTGGGGTTCTTTGATATGCCGAATCTAACCGTGTATTTAGATTCTTAATTTTTGGTTCTGTTTTCAAATTGGTCTACATTAAGGTCCAAAGGGTCCAAAATTAAACTTAGTTTGATTTTAACAAAAATTGAATTTTTAGGGTTCTTTGATATTCTGAATCTAAACATGTATTTAGATTTTTGATTATGGGCCCAGTTTTCAAGTTGGTCCAAATCGGGGTCCAAAATTAAACTTTGTTTGATTTCAACAAAAATTGAATATATGGGGTTCTTTGATATGCTGAATCTAACCATGTATTTAGATTTTTGTTTTTTGGGCCCCGTTATCAACTTTGTCCACATTGAGGTCAAAAGGGTCCAAAATTAAACTTTGTTTGATTTCATCAAAAATTGAATTCTTAGGGTTCTTTGATATGCTGAATCTAACCATGTATTTAGATTTTGGATATTGGACCATAATAGGTGAATGTCCAATTTAAAATTTTTAAGTTCTTAGACCACATTCATTCTGTGTCAGAAACCTATGCTGTGTCAAATATTTAATCACAATCCAAATTCAGAGCTGTATCAAGCTTGAATGTTGTGTCCATACTTGCCCCAACTGTTCAGGGTTCGACCTCTGCGGTCGTATCAAGCTGCGCCCTGCGGAGCATTTTATTTTATATTTTTTATAGGTGGAGAAGGAAAAATTGGAAAGATCACTGAGATTCGAGGATGGGATTCTGAATCGGAGAGAAGTGTGTCAAATGTTGCATGGCAGACAGGATCTACCAATGTATACAGAGTAGGACATAAAGGAAAAGTAGACTTAAAATATGTGACAGCTGGTCAAGGCATTTATTATTATAAGGAGCACCTGCCTGTATTAGGTAATTTCTATTTATGCACTGAAATTGAAAGTAGACAATGCAGGTACTTCCTAGTGTGTTTAGTTCATTGTGAGGAATACTATCCGTTTATAATAATAAAAAAAGAAGTTGAAATAGTGACTTAGGTTTTTGTGGTGCTGCCAATTAAATAATTTGATAAAGAAAAGAGAAGACTATTGTTTGATTCAGGTCTTATTAATAACTTGACAATTGGCTGCTAAAATTTTATTGTGAAGAACTTGTTATCATCTAGGTTAAAAACTGATTGATCAGATAATCCACATGAATCATTTAGGAAAATTAAAGGTGAATAGGTCTAGTGTTTGCAGAGTTTTCATGGTCACAGTCATGTGCTCATTTTAGAGAAGTTATTTATTTTAACTTGAGTTGTAAAAAATCTAGATTATAATTTTATTCTTGTACAATTTTACAGGAGAGTTTTCAGATTCAGTCACTCAGTCCGGAGTTGCTTGTCCATTTAAAGTTGGTGAGAAAGTTCAAGTTGACCTTGACCCAGAAATTCTCAAGGCCATGCAGGAAGGTCATGGTGGATGGAATCCCAGAATGGCTGATGTATGTTGACACAGTACAATTATATACAGAAAAAGCTACATATATTTAAAATCCATTTCTACTTGGATCAATAATAATTTGAATAAAAACCTGTTCAGAACAACACATTGCAGAGATAACATTGTTTATTTCTCATTATGTTGTGAATAAATTCTGTGACACATTATGATTATTTTAGTTAAATTTCAATATATAGTTATACATTGATCAAGCCATTCTTTGTTATTTCTTTCTTAGTATATTGGAAAAGTGGGAGTGGTCCATAGAATAACTGACAGGGGAGATGTAAGAGTTCAATATGAAGGATGTTCTAACCGTTGGACATTCCATGCAGGGGCATTAACAAAGGTAAGTGGATGAGGCCTATACAAAACCTTACAGGGATAAATAATGTTAAGGTTAAATATGGAGAATATTCCATCGCTTGCATTTTTATACGACCGCAAAAAATTTTGCGGTCGTATATTGGTATCACGTTGTCCACGTCGTCCAAAGACATTTTGTTTACGCACAATAACTTTAGTATAAGTAAATAGAAATCTATGAAATTTAAACACAAGGTTTATGACAACAAAAGGGAGGTTGGGATTGATTTTGGGGGTTATGGTCCCAACAGTTTAGGAATTAGGGGCCAAAAAGGGGCCCAAATAAGCATTTTCTAGTTTCCAGACAATAACTTGTGGAATGGTGTATGGATCTCTCTGAAATTATACCACAAGTTTCCATACCACAAAGGGATGGTAAAAATTGGCTGTGGGGGGTTATGGCTCAAACTGTTTAGGAATTAGGGGCAAAAAAGGGGGAAAACAAGGGTGTCCTGGTTAATGGACAATTACTTAAGTACAAAACATAATTTAAAAGCAGTGGAAGGGAAGTAATTCAAACTCAACATTTTGAATTACCTCCCTTACATTGCTTTTAAATTATGTATAAAGAAATGTTGTATTGTCTTGAGGTGATTAGCTGTCAATTTATTTTTAGAAGTTACTATTTTAAAAATGCTGATGATGGTTATTTAATTTTAGCCATGATTATGTATGTCATTTTCTATTTTAAGACTTTTATGATGTATTTTAATGGGTTATTATGGTTGCAAACTCCATTGGAAATTTTAATTGAGATTTGAGGGAAAGAATTTTTTTTTGGAAAAGGGGAGGGGAGTGTTGACAATTTGTTCTCAAGATTTCAGAAATTAAACAGAAAATTTCTTCAAATCACATAACCAATTCAAGTTCTTTGACTACAGTTATTCTGTGTCAGAATTAAATTGAGAATAGAAATGGGGAATATGTCAAAGAGACAACAACCCGACTAAAGAGCAGACAACAGCCGAAGGCCACCAATGGGTCTTCAATGCAACAGGAAAATCCCGCACCCAGGTGGTCCTCAGCTGGCCCCTAAATAAAATTGTGTGCTAGTTCAGTGAAAATGGACCTATTATGTGTCAAGTATTTAATTAAAATCCAAATTCAGACCTGTATCAAGTGCGAATATTGTGTGTCCATTTTTGCCCCAACTTGTCAGGGTTGGACCTCTGCGGTAGTATCCAGCTGCGCTCGGCGAAGCAATTTATTTAATCTGAAAAAACGTTATCTTTTAGGTATGGTCTACACAATATCTAACATTGGAGTTGTCTATAGTTAAATTTTAAGTGTGTTCTAACAGGCTTAACACCCAAACTTATACAGGTATTAATTAGTTTTCTTGCAAGTGGTTAGTTCAATTTGAATTTTACTTAGAGCTACTTAAACAGTTGTTATGTATTAAAATCAGTATTGTTCTGGTGAAACAGTTTGTTTCAGGTAACTTTACCAAATATTTACCTGACTTAAATTTGAGAAATTTGGTTTCAACACTTCATACTTTTAAAAGGCCTCTTCATCAAATGTAAATAGAGAATTCTAAAAATTCTAAAAATAAATTGGATACCAACTGCAAGATTTGGGATGTAACTAAGATAAGTCAGTGTGGCCATATCTAAGAGAGGGATGTAAGACATTAACAAAAAGATATGTCAGTCATGTTGAATACTATTGTTTGTAGAATGTTATAGAGTAGTTTTAAAATGGATAAAAGTGTTGGGTTGAATAAAATGTATGCACCTGAAAGAAAAAGATTCTACTTTCTGTTCATGAATACCTGCTTTGCTTGTGATAGAAACTTATTTGTTAATAAAATATAAAACTAAAATCATAGGAATTGAAATTGTGGGTTAGAAATTTCAGTTAGAAGTTGAATTATGGATAATGTGAAATTAGATGCTAACAAAATGTTGTTTTTTTATGCAAATAGAATTAATTTTAAAAAAAATTTTGATGTTTGCTTGTGATAATTTGTAACAACATATATAAGAATCACAATAATTTTGCATTATTGTTGGTAATAAATCAAAACAATAGATGGATGTAATGAATTAAGAAATTTCAGTATATCAAGTTTTTTACTTGCACTCAATATATTTCATCGGTCTATTTCAGTGATGTATTAATTTTTTTCTCAAGGTACATGCATTCAGAGTCAATGATCAGGTGAAAGTGTCACATAATATACATCTAGTCAAAGAAAAACAGAAGGGACATGGTGAATGGTCAGAGAGTATGAGAGCTGTAAGTCTTTATATTTAATTTGTAATAAATAATGATACTCATCATCTCCAGAATCATTTATTTAGCAAAAAATGATTTTTTACATTAAGGTAAGATAGTGGTTAATGTCTTTATAAGATAGCTTAGATTAATTTGGTATGAAATGAAATATGTTGACTTCCAAAGATAAGAAGGATGGAAATGGGAAATGATGGGAGGGCCTAAGAACAGTTTGTTAAGTGTGTATATGGAATAATTGAAATGTGTAGGAAATAATAGTATTCATCTTCCACTACAACATGAATATAGCCACAGAATTAAGTAAGGCAGTAGGTGTATGTCATAATCACATTTATAGAATAATCTGTTGAGGAAAGTAGACTTTAATGATAACACTTTCTTAATAATTTCAAATTGATATTTTTGCAGATTTTAGGAAAACAGGGAAGAATTATATCAATTTACCCTGATGGTGATCTGAGAGTAACTGTCAATGGGAACACATATACATTAAACCCTATCTGCTGTACTGTACCTTCCCAAGAGCCTGATGTTAATAACACTGATCGGATTCCTGATAGAGAACATAGTAGTAAGTAGTGATTTTCATTTTCCAGATCATTGTAGCAAGATGTAATATAGGCTGTAGTATAATGTTTACAACAAAACTTAATGTTGTATAACTTTTATTTTTTGCCATTTCTGTTTTTTTTTTTAATTTATTGAATTTCATTAAGCATAGCCATAGGTATCTTGATCTTTGGAAAAAGTTGCCCCTGAGAAGTGAGAAAAGAAATAACCTATTAATGATCTTATTTTAATTCATATTCAAACATTCAAAATTGAAAAAAATTGAAAAACAATAAAATTGAACAGAAGCATATGCAAGATGGCATGGATGTTTATTGTAATAATTCAAAATTGGCTTTAAAATTTGTACTGTATTACCAGAAAAATATATGTATCAACTAAAACTCTTTATATTTCAGCCTCAATGCAAACACTACTTGACCATCTGAAGGAGCCATCACTTTCAGTAGAAACTGGTCCTGATAGACTTGTCAGAGAATCAGCTCAAGGACATACAGATATTGTTAAAGATATTGTCACAAAACACCCAGATAAAGTAAGTTGTCAAGATCCAATCATAATATTGTATGTATTCTTCAAAATTCTAATTTATGGCAGACTGATAAATCATAGGGACATTCTAATTATGCCATAACACTTTTGGGAAGACCTGAGTTTGTATCAAATGGATCCCTTGAAATATAGTGTATATTTCGTTATGAAGTCTGACTTTTTTCAGATGAATGGTAAAAAAGTTATTTGACCCACATTTTTCTTCAAAGCTGAAGTTAATGGCCTTAAAATTTGAAAGTTTTTAAAAATGGATAAAGAATGTAAAAACAAAGTTTGGCAAGACACAAAAATAAAACAAAATCCCAAGTTAAAGTTGTTATGTTAGTAAAATGTACCACACACCTTAGTATTTTACCAGACTCAATGTTGAAACAAAATATTGACAAGAAGAATTGATGTACTTGATTCATTCCAAGAACATTCAGACATTTTTTTTAGAAAATTTTACAAAATGCTTAATAATTTAAATTTTCTTGTTTTAACAACCACCTTGGTTGTACATTGTAGCATACTCACTTTTGAGTGTGTGAGGCCATGGTTAAAATTCCTGGCCATGTCAACTTAGAGAGTTTGTTTTATAAATTTGGTTCTTGCTGGCAATATACTCAAAGGACAAGTATTTATTTTTTGCTTGGAGTATGAATAATGTTTCAATATGGAGTTGTCTTTTTATGGACTGTAACCTTGAGATCTACTATAAATATGTCCTTTGATTTATAGGTAGATTTAAAAAGTGCCGGTAAAACAGCCTTGCAGGTAGCCTGTCATCAAGGACATAAAGATATTGTACAGATATTGTTGGATGCTGGGGCTAACCTGGAACTACAGGATGATGATGGAGATACTGCTCTTCATTACTCTGCCTTTGGGTAACTATTGTACCATCTTTTATTGTTACTCACTCAGTCAAATGATTTAAAGTTCATGCTTTGTAAATTAATTCAATCAGACTCTTTGAGGTGGTACCAAATACCTTGACTAAAATTTATTTGGCTCGTTTAATTTTCATAAAATTTTGACAAAATATTTACTTTAACCCTTTGACAAAAATATAAAAATTTCAAAAAACTTGAACCACACACTTTATTGGAAAAATTTCATTGGATATATAGCAGATTGACAAACACTAATTTTGATCATTGATAAGATTTATATTTCCTTAACAATAGAACGTGATTAAAACATTCAGCTGATTTTTAAAGAGTTATCTCCCTGTAGAGTTGTGTACCACTTTAAACTGCAGAACTTTTAAAAGTTATGAAATAAAAAGTTAGAAAGTGCCCTTTGATGCGATTGTTTATACTAGAACTTATATCAGACAATATTTTTACAGTTACCAAGCTGAAATAATGGAAATGTTATTGAGGAAAGGAGCCCAGATAAACTCCCTAAATAATGGAGGGTGCAGTTCATTGCATGTTGCTGTGAACAAACAGCATTTAGAGTGTGCCAAAATATTACTGCGATATAAGTGTAATGTAAATATACAGGTAAGTTTACCATTTTCCTATGGGGTACTATTGTAGTGTTATAAACTGACTGCTTCTGTATTAGCTAGTTATTGATTAAAATAAATCTGATCTATTGATTGATTGTTGTTTGCTTAACTTACAATGGAAAATATATAAAACTTAATAACATAGTCAATCACACTTGATGTAGATTATCACCATAATCAGAGGTAGAGAGAAAAGTCTGTTGCTTCAAGAGTAACTAACTTAGTCAATCAAACTTGATGTAGATTATCACCATAATCAGAGGTATCTGTTGCTTCAAGAGTAACTAACTTAGTCAATCAAACTTGATGTAGATTATCACCATAACCAGAGGTAGAGAGAAGTCTGTTGCTTCAAGAGTAACTAACTTAGTCAATCAAACTTGATGTAGATTATCACCATAATCAGAGGTATCTGTTGCTTCAAGAGTAACTAACTTAGTCAATCAAACTTGATGAAGATTATCACCATAATCAGAGGTAGAGAGAAGTCTGTTGTTGCTTCAACTGTAACTAACTTAGTCAATCAAACTTGATGTAGATTATCACCATAATCAGAGGTAGAGAGAAGTCTGTTGCTTCAAGAGTAACAAGTTTACAGGCCTCGACAATAACGCTTGTCCGATTGTCCGGTACCAGAGGAAAAAAAGGTCGGACAAGTAAAAGCTATATCAAGCTTGTCAAGTAAAATTATTCTGCAGAAAATAAATTTAATCCAATTTTGATGAACAAAGTAATTATAAACAAAAAACAAGAAAAGAAGATAAAAACAAGTATACTTGCAATCGATACTTTAAAACTGGTTCTTTGTCAGGTACTTTTTAAGAGGTAAAAGGCATACTTTTCTCGGAAACCCGTCTTACTGATCCGAATCAGCGATGCGCTTTGTAGATAAGGTAACTTTCAAGACAGTTCGCCACCAGCTCGGAAAACGATTGGGCTCCAAATTTAATAGACAGTTTGGCACTGTAAGAGACATATTTAATAGACATGATTAATAGACAGTTTGGCAATGCAGGAGACATTTCGGGACCAAGACAAATCAGTACCTTGTTATCCGACCTTATTCTGTTGCTTTATAATAAATACCATACCGGTAATCTTTTTAACAAAAACTATTTTTTAAATAAAAATGAAGAAATTATGTACCATAAAATTCACAAAATCATATTTGATCATATGAAGAAAAAAACAATACTTGCAATACGGTGACATATAGTTGTTAATTTCTGTGTCATTTTGGTCTCTTGCAGAGAGTTGTCTCATTGGCACACATACCTCATCTTCTTTTTTTTATTGATTGCATTTGAAAAAACTTTTTTTCAACTTAAAAACCAAGATACAAATCCAATGAGTGTACATTGACAGGCCTATCAGACGGTGCCTCATGTGCAGAGTCTGATGAGACTTTGGCATTGAAGAAAGCTAGAACCTAAGTCCTGTGACATGACTAGATTCAGTTGTTCTCAACTCATATTTTTGAAAAAGTATATCAAAAGATATAAATCAAATTCTGTTTTATTGTTTTAATTCATTTTGTTCCTTGAATCAACTTAAAATGCAAAAAAGGTTATTATTAAGATTTTTTTTGGACAAGTTACAATTTCATTCGGACAAGTAAGTTTTGGTATGTACTTGTCCTACTGGACAAGTTGAAAAAAAAGTTATTGTAGAGGCCTGGTTTAAGGTAGATTTAGTCATTTGTTGCACAACAGTAAAAGTTTGTTGGATTGTAAAGGGATGCTTTACATAAAGAATCGCTTGTAAAACTTTATATTTGAGAGACAGGCCAAAGATATCAAAGGGATAATCAAACCCACAAGTCAAAAACAAACTGTCATAGATGGTAAAGGATCTTGAATTGATGCTTTACCTTTGATAAGATTTATTTTTCTAATTAAAAACCTGAATTTTGCAGGACTCTTATGGAGATACATGTCTTCATGATGCCATTGGTAAAGAAAACAGACAAATTATAGACATGTTAGTCAATTATAATGGAATAGACTTTACATTAAGGAATAAAAGAGGATTCAATGTGCTACATCATGCTGCTCTTAAAGGAAACAGCTTGTGAGTTATGTTATATTTATTTCTAATGTTTTGTTTTGCACATACAGAGAGAATGTAAAAACATATTATTGTTATTATTATTATTATTATTATTATATTAATTTATCTTATAACAGTGACATTTATACTTTATATGCCTCTGACTCTACTAGAAAGATTATTTTCTTAAAATCTCGTATTCCAGTTACATGTTAGTCATGTAGAGTAATTAGAATTGAATTAAAACTAAGTTTATACCTCATTCTAACCTATGTTTCTAATATTAGCATGAAAAGCAGTTAATTATCTTCAGAGCAAGATGGAATTTTTGTTACGAATATAGAAATAGATACAATATAGATTAATTTTTTTTAAATGAAAAATAAAATGAAAATAATATTGTTAAAAAAAATGTCCTTGCTTTTACTGTTAAATTAAACAAAAATGTCTTTATTTATGCAGTGCTACAGAGAAGATACTGTTGAAGTGTAGACAGATTGTGGACATTAAGAAAGATGATGGATTCTCAGCTGTACATTTAGCTTCTCTTAATGGACATAAAGATGTCACTAATGTGCTGCTGACTCAGGTAATGCTACTACCATAGACCATGGGTAAACATACTACTATAAAACATGAAAAAACATACTACCTCATACCATGGATAAATATACTACCATGAAACATGAAAAGACATACTACCATCGACCATGGATACACATACTACCATAGAACATGATAAGCCATACAAGCATAGATTATGTGTAAAAATAAAGAGTAAAATAACAAAAATACCGAACTCCAAGAAAAATTCAAAACGTAAAACACATCAAACATACTACCATAGAATTTTGATATACATACAAGCATATAATTTAGATATTCATACTGGCATAAGATCTAGATTTACATTTGGACATAGAAGTTAGATAGACATTTGCAGTCAGAGAGCAGTTGGATATACAGACATACAATTTGAACAAATAGATTTATTGTTTTCTTTGTTTTATAGGGCCAAGCTGATATTGAGATCAGAAACAACAGACAACAAACACCACTACTACTTGCTGTATCCCAAGGACATACCTCTATCATTGAACTACTTGTAACAAGAGGTGCTGATATAAATGTCAAAGATGAAGATGGAGACACATGTTTACATGTAGCTCTAATGAGACAGTCTGTACCTCAGGAGAGAGAGCCAACGCCCATGTTAGAAGCTGTAAGTTGTCCAGTAAAGATGATACTATGCTTTGGTGTATTGCTCCGTAGCCTTGAGCTGATTTGGTTGGATTGGTCCACTTAAGTCATATTACTCTCATATGCAAGATGAGTTTCCAATATGTATAATACATGTAGTCTGTATAAATGAGAACATAACTAATAGTACATCTAGGGAAAACATCAATGAGACAGTAACTCAATGATGCAAAAACCTAAGTCAACATGCATTGTTGCTCCTCCTATCTTACAAATTATGTTTTATTGCTCTCATATGCAAGATGAGTTTCAAAAAAGTATAATAAAGTCTCTATGAGTTAGTTTAAAGTAAGAGTAGATGTAGGATAAACTTCAAAGAGGCAGAACCTTAATGATGTAAAAACCATAGTTAGCATGCATGTTTACTCCACCTAACATACAAATTATACTCACACAGTGAAAACATGTTTTAGACTGCAATGGAGACTTCAATATTTTGTCTTGTTTCAACAGATATGTAATCAGCTTGGGATGGCAGACGATGAAGATCAGATGGGTGCTGCTATTGCTTGTTATCTTGCCCAACAAGGTGCCAGTCTCACGCATAAAAACAACCAGGGTAAAACACCACTAGAAGTTTGTGGAGATTTTAGGGTTGAAGAAATGATCAAACAGTTTACTACAGCACAGTACGTATACAGGAACACAAAATCTTTCAGAATAATATCAAAATAGTTCATATTGGTTTTTTAAAGGCAGTGCTTTAATGCCTTTCTAGTTGCCGGGTTAATCCTTCCTTCCGCGATATCCAACTTATCTACGTGGGGGGTCATTAGACTCCAAGTAGATCCGGAAATGTTGAATTCTCTCCTCTTCTTATTGCGATATAAAATGTTTTTTGTTTCATTTCATTTACATTGGGAAATAGAGAAACGATCATTGTGTTTTGTTAGTTTTAAAAACTTTTGATATATTAGTATTTTGCATTATAAGCAGTCAACCGATTGACAAACTAGAATTATTTGAATTCCGTGTGGAAAGAGCTCGGGTTAATTTCGAGTGTTATCTGCAATCTAGATGTTTATAAATCATTTCAGTCGTTGATATAATAATTAAAGGTCGACTGAACATGAATTATATTATACAATTTAAAGCGCGTTTCTGTTTATGCACGTGAACCCGTCTAACGTTATTTTCGCAGTTATATAAAGTAGCAAATTATCGTTCCTGAATAGGTGGCGCCGTTGTAGCGGATCCTTTTCCTCTTCTTCCGGTTTCTGCACTGTGCAACTATTTCAGTTATATTTTTAATTAACGATGCCAAATACTTGTTGTTGTGTACCTGGATGTCATTTAAGAGGAGGACATGCATTTCCAAATGACTTAAAAAGAAGGAAAAGTTGGATCAACGCCATGGCCCATACGCAGATTGAACGAGAACACGATCATATCGTGGAGTCCATCTCAATCAGCTGTTGTTTGCAAGGCACGTTTTACTGAAAAAGACTACGTGCAGGAAACTATTCATGGTAAAACTCTATTTTCTTTGTGAAATATATAGTTATATATGTAATCGCCATGCGAATAAACCAAAGTCTGTTTACAACCGCAATTATCGTTTTAGAATAAAAGGGGGTGGGTAATTCAAGACGTCATAATTTTTTGGATTACGATTCAATGTGATCTGTTTGAGATTTTTTGGTGATTGCTACAATTATAATGATTTCTTACAAGAGGTATACATACTGAGAATTATTTTAGCAGTAATTATGCTAATGTAGTAATGACAGGAATGCATAAGCTATGCCTCATAGACTTTCTTGAAAAATATCAATGACAATGTTAACAGGAACAAAACAATGACATGCTCTCATCTATATTATAGTTATTTAGGTACAAACAATGTATGTTTGTTGCATAAGTCTCTCATTGTTTGTCCTTTGGATTTACATAACATACATTGAATCAGGCAAACATAGTTTTATCCAGATTGTAATGAATAAATCTAGTTAATATTTCGCCAGGTAGTACAAAGTATACATTGCTAATGGAAGTTCATTTAATTATAAAAAAACTAATGTTTTATAACCTTTTTCAGGGCGCAAACCCACCATACAGAGACTTAAGTCTACTGCATTTCCCAGCCTATTTTCCTGGACCAAGCAAGAGACTGAATCGTCTGCAAAAAGAAAAATCAGGGCAGTTTCCTGTGAAAACAAAAGAACTAAACTTGATGAATATTGTAGTAGAAATCTAGAGGAAAGTTTTGATTGTAAAGTTGGTTTTCCTGAAGAAGTCATTCATACTGCAGAAAGGATTTATGACTGTCCACCACCAACTGCCGAGCTAATGTTGAGCTTCACAGATGGAATTACGCAAACACCATCAATGCCTATGTTTTCAGCAGAGAATTTTGAAATAAAGACACGTGACACAGCCATGCATTTTTATACCGGTTTAGAGTTGTATACTAAATTTTTATTTGTTTTGACCACACTTGGTCCAGCAGCACATTGTTTGAGATACATATATTTTCAAATTGATAGGGTGTCAGTTGAAAATCAGTTTTTTTATGACTTTGATGAAATTGAGGCATCATACAACCAACTTTGAACTGTCTAGATTCTAGATTGAATCTAGTGTTAAGAATATTGTGTATACATGGATTGTTTTTATGTCTAAACAGTGGTGTGAGGCTAACACTTGGCCATCTAGTGGTTTAGTCAGGTATTTTTCACCATCCAACTTCAAATTAAAGTTTCCTACGACTTGGATTATTATTGACAGCACAGATTATCCCGTGATAAAACCTAAAGCTCCTAGAGCTCAGGCAACCTTTTCATCAAATAAAAACAGAAACACTGAAAATTCTTGAATGTTCGACACCTGGTGGTTTAGTCAACTATGTCTCTATGTCACATAGAGCGAATTATTGGACTTGGCAAAACATACAAAATTCTAATAAATCCTATGAATGGAAGTGAAACAAAACTTTCATCTGAAATAACATTTAGTTGTTTTATGTTGTGTAATTTTAGAACTTGTATTGTGCCAAAGGATGCATAAATAAAAGTGACACAATGAATTTTGTTCTGATATATATATATTTAAAATTACATGCACATGTAAATTGTAATGCATATAAAAATAAGGAGATGTGGTATGATATTCAGTGAGTTTATCAAACTAAAGTGCATAAGAAATGGGTTTAAGCAGTTACAGGTGTTACTGTCACCGTACAATCTCCAACAATGAGAAAAACTCGTACCATGTAAAAAATTTCAGAGATCTTACAACTAAGTTTTGTTGTCTCACCTTGACTTTGGTGAATTTTTTATATCTGTTGATGTAAATATAAAAAAGAAGATGTGGTATGATTGCCAATGAGACAACTCTCCACACATGCACAAGAGACCAAATGACACAGAAATTAACAGCTATAGGTCACAGTACGGCCTTCAACAATGAGCAAAGCCCATACCGCACAGTCAGCTATAAAAGGCCCAGAAATGACAATGTAAAACAATTCAAACAAGAAAACTAACAGCCTATTTTATGTAAAAAAATGAACAAATATAACAAATATGCAACACACAAACAAACGACAACCACTGAATTACACTTTTACAGGCTGCTGACTTGGGACAGGCACATACATGTACATACAGAATGTGGCGGGCTTAAACATGTTAGCGGGATCCCAACCCTCCCCTAACCTGGGACAGTGGTGTAACAGTACAATATAAGAAAGAACTATAAAAATCAGTTGAAAGAGGCTAAACTCATCAGATGGATAAATACAAATACAAGTGGACGTGGTCAGGTAGATGTACATCCAAACAACAAAAAGACACTAAGTACAAATCTGAGAGTACTCGCAGTTACTGACAGCTAGTTCAAAGCCACTAACAACTGATAAAAAAATCTTGCATCTAAGACTAAATTATCAATCCGTAAGCTCCCTTTAGAATTTTATAAATTTTAGATTTTACATTTCTGAGTTATGGGGTTTTATTCATTAAAAAAGGGGGGATTTTCCAGTTTTTGGACAACAACTCAAAAATGCTTTAAGCAGTTCACATGAAACTTTGGTGAATTATTTATAGCTATTGATGTAATCTCCCTATTGATTTTCATAAATTTCAAATATGACATTGAGAAGAAATTGAACTTTATTTGTTTATAGTCGGCAACAGATTTATTAAGTATTGCACAACAGCACAGTGTATTGCACAACAGCAAGAAATCTTTAATTGAATATAAATTCAATTCATATAACCGATTTCAAGTTCATTGACTACATTTATTCAGAAACTATAATATCTCAAATATTTAATTACAATCCAAATTCAGACCTGTATCAAGCTTGAATATTGTGTCCATTTTTGCCCCAGCTGTTCAGGGTAGTACACCGCGGGTGTATCCAGCTGCGCTCAGCGAATCAGTTTATTTCTTAATTAAGAACTCCTTTTTATACGACCGCAAACAAATTTTTGTGGTCGTATATTGGTATGACGTTGGCGTCGTCGTCGTCCGAAGACACATTAGTTTTCGCTTTCTAACTTTAGTTAAAGTGAATGGATCTCAATGAAATTTTAAAATAAGGTTCAATACCACAAAGGGAAAGTGGGGATTGATTTTGTGGGTTATGGTACCAACAGTTAAGGAAAAAGGGGCCAAAAATAAGCATTTTTGTAACTTCCAGACATAACTTGTGTGTAAGTGTATGGATCTCTCTGACATTGTACCACAAGGTTCCATATCACAAAGGGAATGCTGGGATTGATTTTTGGGGGTAATTGCCTCCAAATTTTAGGAATTAGGGGCCAAAAAGGGGCAAAAAACAAGCATTTTTCTAGTTTCATGACAATAACTTGTGTGCAAGTCTATGGATCTCTCTGACATTGTATCACAAGGTTCCATATCACAAAGGGAATGCTGGGATTGAATTTGGGGGTAATTGCCTCCAAATTTTAGGAATTAGGGGCCAAAAAGGGGCAAAAGACAAGCATTTTTCTAGATTCATGGCAATAACTTGTGTGTAAGTGTATGGATCTTTATGAAATTGTACTACAAGGTTCCATATCCCAAAAGGAAAGCTGGAATTGAGTTTGGGGGTAATTGCCCAAAAAGTTTAGGAATAAGGGGCCAAAAATAAGCATTTTTCTAGTTTCCAGACAATAACTTGTGTTCAAGTGTATGGATCTCTCTGAAATTGTACTGCAAGGTACCATACCACAAAGGGAATGCTGGGATTGATTTTTGGGGTAATTGCCTCCAAATTTTAGGAATTAGGGGCCAAAAAGGGGAAAAAAACAAGCATTTTTCTAGTTTCATGACAATAACTTGTGTGTAAGTCTATGGATCTCTCTGACATTGTATCACATGGTTCCATATCACAAAGGGAATGCTGGGATTGATTTTGGGGGTAATTGCCTCCAAATTTTAGGAATTAGGGGCCAAAAAGGGGCAAAAAACAAGCATTTTTCTAGTTTCATGGCAATAACTTGTGTGTAAGTGCATGGATCTTTATGAAATTGTACTACAAGGTTCCATATCACAAAGGGAAAGCTGGGTTTGAGTTTGGGGGTAATTGCCCTAAACGTTTAGGAATTTGGGACCAAACAGGGGCCAAAAAACAAGCATTTTTCTAGTTTCCAGACAATAACATGTGTTCAAGTGTATGGATCTTTATGAAATTGTACTGCAAGGTACCATACCACAAAGGGAAGGCTGGGATTGAGTTTTGGGGTGATGAATCATAAGGGGGTTAAAAAAATTTGGGGGGGATTCTTTTTCCTTTTTTTTCTTTAAAATTTTCCATTTTAAATTGGTTATTTCTGATTTATATATAAAAGCAAATAATAATGATATGGTTTGAATAGGTAAATTAAAAATTTTTAAGTATCTTAGACCACTTTCATTCTGTGTCAGAAACCTATGCTGTGTCAAATATTTAATTACAATCCAAATTCAGTGCTGAATCAAGCTGAATCAAGCTTGAATGTTGTGTTCATACTTGCCCCAACTGTTCAGCGGAGCATTTTATTTCATTCATAAATTACTTTATGCTTGGAAATATAATTTTGCTTGGATTTGAAAGAGTTGACATGTTGCAATGTACATTTACTCTACATAGTTCTATGGTACCAAATCAAAAGTTTATATAAAGAAAGAAGTCAAAGGTTTCCCATCATAGTTAGTTACATACATTTTTTTTGCACCTGAGGTCGTTGAATATAGATCATTATATAAATAAGGAGATGTGTTATGATTGCCAATGAAAAAACTAAGGATTTTCTTATCCAAGGAATAGATTACTGTAAATTCAGAAATTATTGCGTGCATTTATTATTGCGATTTATGAAGAATGGACAATAATGCGAGATTAATTATTGCGATTTAAGGAAATTCTGCATACAGATGCATATATCAGATATCAGAATGCGAGTTCTAATTATTGCGATACTAACCCAGTCGCAATATTCGCATTAATAAAAACCTCGCAATAATTTCTGAATTTACAGTACCTTAGCCGTATTTGGCACAACTTTTTGGAATTTTGGGTCCTCAATGCTCTTCAACTTTGTACTTGTTTGGCTTTGTTACTATTTTGATCTGAACTTCACTGATGAGTCTTATGTAGACGAAACACACGTCTGGCGTATTAAATTATAATCCTGGTACCTTTGATAACTAATTTGACTATAAACATAGATAAAAAAGGTACAAACTGGACATAATGCACTAGTTCATAAACAAGTGAGAACAATCGCCTTCATATAGTGCTCAGAATATGACATTCATAAAACTTATTCAATATCATTAGAGAACTCTAAATCTTAAATACTGAAAGCCACCTCTGATAAGTACACTGTACTATGCAAGATAATGATATAACTGGACTTAAAATACACACAACCTGTAATTAACTGCCTTTACAGCGCTTTCGTGCTTTGATCTAAACTGCATGAGGTCCAATTGGGGTTGACTTTTTTTTTTTAATCTCTAGTCACATTTTTGTGTTTTTATTTCGGTATATAATGAAAATTTCTGTCTGTATTTTTAATAGTTATGCCAGCTCTCTTTATTTTCAAACTAAAAGGCACCAGAGGGGAGGAGAAGTTATCCCTTTGTTTTTTATGTTGTATGTAGAGATTTTTATTAGTCTATATTTTTTTCAGATTCTTCATAAATTGCATGACCTCCAAACTAAAAATAACAAAATATAACATTTCCCAGGATCTATATTGTTCCAGCTTATTACTATGTCCTCCACATTACTATGTCAAGCACAATTATTGTGACTGAACACTTTTTTAACAATGTTTAATTTACATATTTTATATGTTGGCCATTTATTTGTTGGGAGTTTTATTATTCTGGTGTAAAGTCTTTATCAAAACTTGAACCACTGTTTTTTCTATCACAGTTTTATTTAACACTTGATATATTTATGTCAGGGCAAGTATATCAAATGGACCAGTATTTTGTTTTACAATTAAATTTTTATTTCAGGGCCAGTTAATTAACTGTGCCAGTATTTTATTTCACACTTGAGATATTTATTTCAGGGCCAGTTAATTAACTGTGCCAGTATTTTATTTCACACTTGAGATATTTATTTCAGGGCCAGTAAATCAGACCCACAGTCATCATTAGAGAAAGAATCTCTCGTACAAGAATGTATGGTTTGTTCAGAAAACATGGCGTGTATAAAATTCATGCCATGCGGACATGTTATAACCTGTTTTGACTGCTGTCAGAAGATGAAAAAATGTATATTATGTAAAGAAACTATAGATAGTAAAACTTGTCCAGGTATGTTTTAAAATTAATATCCATGTGAGAGATAAGTTTAGTGGCTAATATAAATTTAGCATTTTGTATGAATGCATTTTTTTAATAGAAATTTATAGTCTGAGGATTGTACTAATAGACCATTATTAATGTTCACATATCAGGTGGGGTGAAAATGGTAGAGTAACTTATTGAAGAGATCTATTTTATTGCCAGTGGTTAAACTCTTTGTACTATGGATTCATTTATTTTTGTGGATATAATGGTTTATGGATTGAGAAAAAATTGTAATTTTGTGGATATTTGATATCATGGTTTTGCAAAAGTCTGCATACAAGCCTAAGGAAACTTTGTACTGTTTGATCATTATAAAATCTGTGGTTCACATTTACCCACAAAATCTACAAAAATTAGTATCCAAAAAATAGTAATAAATGCACGGTATATAATGTAGCATGAGAAGAAATTTTAGCGTGCCTGCACATAATATCAGCACATAGTGCCTTCCATTCTGTAATATCAGCCAATTCTGAAATACAAGCTTTTAAAAATGTTGTGAAATTGCAATAGTACTATTAAGTTCAATACAGAAATATGTAATCCTTATTCAAAGTAATAGTTTTTCAATCTGATAAAGCCTATATAATTGTTCAAAATACATCTGTTTTTAATTTTCAACAGGAAATTAGCATGCCTTATTCATCTGTACTAGTTTCAATTTAAAGTATTCAACTGAAACATTTATTTGCTCAATTTAATTTCCAAGAATTTTTTTTAATTTCATCATATCTATTTTTAGATGGTACAGAGGTAACAGCAACAAGAGAACATCCTGCTGCTGGAGTTATGGAGTCAAACTTACTGCAGAAGAAACTCCAAGAAATGGAAGAGAACTTTCTTTGTTCTATTTGTATGGAACGGAAACGGAACATGGCATTTTTATGTGGACACACTGTGTGTAATATTTGTGGGGATTCATTACGAACCTGTCATATGTGTCGCAAACCCATTACTAAAAAGATTCCATTATATGCATGATTATGTGGTTGAAGTCTTTCAGAAAGTGAATTTGTTGGACTGTATTCAGTTTTATGTACAAATACTCCTAGTATTTATTTTTTAATTGCTATAAGATAAATAACAACAGAAACCTATGCTTCTTAAAATGTATGATTATTTCCGAGTATTTCATTGATTTGTATTTGCTTCACATCATGGGCATTTCCCTTCTTCTCTTAATATAAATTATTCTCACTTTTTACAAAATTCTCTGCCATGGTTACTTTTACTTCCAATAGAAAATTTACATAAGAAAACATTAGATGTGAATGTTTCAAATGCAATACCTAAATAGATTTTGTAGGTATTCATTTAATTTTGAGATAAATTAGAGTTAAGTGCTTTAGTACATGTATGGCTAAGCTATATTACTGTAGGAAAGTTTCAGGAAATTCTTGCAACGATTTTGTTTTAAACATATCAAAATCTAATGGTTGCAAATGTCTATGTCAATGTTAGCTTGTTAGAAAATGGATACAGCAGTGAAATGATAGATAGGTGTTTGGAAATATTAAAAGTACAAAATTGCTATTTAGTTTCAAAGAGTAAAATAGTTTTCATACAGAATAAGTCACATTAGGCAAGCATGACATCACATGAGTTAGATGTTATGAACAGTACAATTTGTATCAGTGTTAAATTTTTCTTTTTCATTTCATTTTTTACATTAAATTAAACAAATTCATTAAAATGGGAAATAAAATATAAAAACTCAATACAGTCCAATAAATTCTTTGTGCAGTATTGATCTTGAGATTTATGCAAATAATTTTGTAACAGTATAATGGATTTTCATTGGTCAAGTAGTCTTTCATTCATAAGTTATATATCACCTCATGAATAATGTGCATTAAGTTCACTCTATGTGTGCTTTAATTTGAAATTTTAGTATTGTAATATTAAAGTATTAGTATGTTTTATTAATTATGGATTTTAAGGAAAATAAAACAAATGTAGATGGAACATTGGGAACCTCCACAATACAAATAAAAAGACTGACCTACTTATTAGTGTGTAGGAATATTATTGAAAACAGTTTATTTATCTCAAACTTTGTAATATCACCTTTGTATGCATAATGTCATAAAGTAGGATGTCAGACAGAAATGATCAAACCTTGCCCCAACTTCGTAATTCAGACAAATTTTCTTTCGGTTGTACACATTTTGGTGGCAGTCTGGCAAAATGTCAGGTAACCTGTCTGACAGTTTTTGGAAATCTTTGTTTACTGTATTCTTAATGTATAATGTGCATTTAAATTGAAAAAAAATTACTCCATTTTTTTTAAAGGCCAGTGTTTACATTAAACACAAGAAATCATTCATGTGTTTTTCTAATGCAGATGGTCAGTTCTATTTAAATCTTATTAGAAGCTATTAAAAACATTTTTAGGTATGAAAATTAAAATCCTCACATGAAATTCAGGTATATCCAAAGTAAACCTGAAACAAGCTGCTTTCATCAAAGAATATTGATTTCAATACCCTTTTTTTTAGCTTTTTGTTAAATTTAACCTTAACCATTGAATGGGAATTTGTTAACACATGAATGGTTTCTGTTGTAAAAGCAAAATTTCATATCTGCATCTGTATGTACAATCATTACAATTTAAAAGATGTATTAAATATTTTTGTATACTCTACTATGTAGAGAATGCTTAGCTTATTTATGTATAATGCATAAAAGTAGATATAGCTATATCCTATTGGTTTAGAGTTGTCAGTTTAAATTATAAAAAAAAGTATTGGCACAGATTCAGTTTGATTAGGAACACATAGTGGAGTCAATGAAATAAATGATACAAGATTTGTTGTGCACTTAACAATTGTATATCTTTATTAAAAGACTTGTTTCGTTTAAGGTGGTTGAGGGTTTAAAACTAAAAACAATAGAATTTTTATATACTTTGCCAAATAGTAGTTAATATATTATGTTACATTGTATCTCAAAAATTGTATAAAAAAGTATTAAGTCACAAAGGTATTCAAGCTACAGGTTGTTATTTTGTGAAATTTATCAATTTACCATGCAAGGTACTGTCAAATTTTATCAGTTGAGTTACCTCCCCTGGGAAACTACTTTTGATTCTTAAAGTTTTTGACAACAAACTACTTTAAGATTTGAAATATGTGTAGTCATCATTTAAATGATTTATGCAGTCAAATTGCATTTCAATATTCTGAAAAATTATATGCATAGAATTTTTAAGAACAAACCTTCAACATCTCTGTGAAGGCAGTGTGAAATTTTTACACATGTGTAACTGTTAATTTTGATCCCTCCCCATTTTTTGTGGAATATTTGCGTAAATGCTTGATTATTTTTTTAATCAGAAACTATTGCATGAGACTGGAGGGCATTTTTTATCCCTGTTGGAGAAGGCTTAACACTATATTTCCCACTTTTTGTTTGATAAAGTACACCTAATCTTTGTAAAAGAAGTTTTTTTTTATTCTTTGTATAAACCCATACTACTGTATTTAGCTAAAGAGCTTCCTATAAATTGCTCATTTATTTTCCATAGTATGTAAAGATCCCTCTAATTTAAAATCAAATCTTTAAGATAATGAACATCATCCTTTACTGAGAACTATAGTTAGGAAATGAAATGAAATGAGATGAAACCAATTTTAATTTTTATACTGGAACATAGTAAACATGTTCATTTAAAAGTGTATTACATTATCTTCCAGAAGAGTGGTCCTTGAACACAGGAAAATGATTGATTGATGATCCCTAATTTATTTTGGTTTGTATAATTCTGAATGTGCCAGTATGTCATAATTACATAAGCCTTTCTGTGATACTACTTTTTGTCACCAAATATGTTATTTTATGGGTAAGTTATGCTTTAGTTCCAAGAATGAAAGAAAATAACGAACACATCTTTGTACTGCTAAGGTTAACATAGTGTGTATACAGTAAATTGCAGTTTTCATTGCACAAGTTCCATACAGATTTCAGTGACCAGAAATGACTCTTTTCATTGAACAAGAAGTATTACAGTTTTTACATGGCTTACAATACATCATGTTCACTAGCTTATAATTTATTTAAACTCACCTTGGGCATTGTATAGTGATATGATGTGGTTAAAACCTAAACCATATAAGTGTGAACAAAATCTTGCAAATTGTCAATTCTATTTTTAATTTATTAAATGAAGAGTGTTTCAAAAAATTTAAAGGTGTCAAAACTAAAATACTTAACACATGTTTATATGTCTACATAATAAAATTGGACCTGACCTTTTGCAAGAAAAAAATTACACTTGCCTGATATTGTAGAGTAATTGGATGAGGTTTTACAAGGTTTGAAAAAGTAAAAAAAAATATTGGAATGTTGACATTTACCTCAGAAACATGTTATTAGGTTACAAATATGAACTTTCATGTAGCATTAAAAGTGTTTTCTTTTAAGGTATTTAGATGTTTTGTGAATTCATGTATTGTGTTGAAATTGTGCTTATTATTAGTCTTGCCACTGCCACAAAACTTGTATAGCTTTTTATTTTTTGAATTATGTAGACTCACCTTTGGCTTTATTTTTAATCTTTAACAATTTGTCTATTCAAGTCCTGTGTGTATGAACAGCTATCATAAGCATCTGTATTTTTGTGTTGTTTGTTGTTTTCTTTCCAATTTTTTACAAGAAAACCAATTTGATTGATGGATACAAAATATTCATAGTTTTCTGACGAAGTCAAAAAAAGTGCCCATTTGTATGTATATTTTATTGTTGCTTTATTTAAAACTTGTTTAGAATTATTCAACTTACACAGTTTGGTGAACTTAAACTTCTTTGAGTGGTTTAGACTATGGTAGGCCACATGATATAATGGGTTGATCAAGGAATCGTTAAAATGAATAAAAATAAAAACTGTCAATGAACTCTTTATAGTATGAGTTAATAACAAAAGCATTGTGACATTTGAAAAGTATGAGGAAATACACAAATGTGAATGTCATCTATAGAAAGAGTCCATAACATTATATTCTAGAAAAGATTTCCCTTTTTATACGACCGCAAAAAAATTTTTGTGGTCGTATATTGGTATGACGTTGGCGGCGTCGTCGTCGTCGTCGTCGTCGTCGTCCGGCGTCGTCGTCCGAATACACATTAGTTTTCGCACTCTAACTTTAGTTTAAGTCAATGGATCTCAATGAAATTTTACCATAAGGTTCAATACGACAAAAGGAAGGTGGGGATTGATTTTGGGGGTTATGGTACTAACAGTTAAGGAATTAGGGGCCAAAAAGGGGCCAAAAATAAGCATTTCTGTAACTTCCAGACATAACTTGTGTGTAAGTATATGGATCTCTCTGACATTGTACCACAAGGTTCCATATCACAAAGGGAATGCTGGGATTGATTTGGGGGTAATTGCCTCCAAATTTTAGGAATTAGGGGCCAAAAAGGGGCAAAAAACAAGCATTTTTCTAGTTTCATGACAATAACTTGTGTGTAAGTGTATGGATCTCTCTGACATTGTATCACAAGGTTCCATATCACAAAGGGAATACTGGGATTGATTTTTGGGGGTAATTTCCTCCAAATTTTGGGAATTAGGGGCCAAAAAGGGGCAAAAAACAAGCATTTTTCTAGTTTCAGGACAATAACTTGTTTGTAAGTGTATGGATCTTTATGAAATTGTACTGCAAGGTTCCATATCACAAAGGGAAAGCTGGGTTGGAGTTTGGGGGTAATTGCCCTAAACGTTTAGGAATTAGGGGCCAAAAAGAGACAAAAAAGCAAGCATTTTTCTAGTTTCCAGACAATAACTTGTGTTCAAGTGAATGGATCTCTCTAAAATTGTACTGCAAGGTACCATACCACAAAGGGAAAGCTGGGATTGAGTGTGGGGGCGATGAATCATAAGGGGGTTCAAAAAATTTGGGGGGGGGGGATTTTTTTTTCCTTTTTTTTCTTTAAAATTTTCCATTTTAAATTGGTTATTTCTGATTTATATATAAAAGCAAATAATAATGATATGGTTTGAATAGCATACATGTGAACCTCCCGACAGGTGTACAATAATCCTGTTTTCAGGAGTCTCCTCCTGACGTCCGGTTGAAGAGGAAAATTATAATCCCGTGTATGAAATTTTTCATGAATGAAAAATTTCTGCCCAACATATCATCTCAGGCATCTGGTGTAACTCACATTACCTGAAGTTATATTTTACCTGTAAATCAATTAACATGCATAATTATATGGCTTCACTTGTCAGCTTGGGTGTCAAACATACTGGTAATCAATGATTTTTTACCTCAGGCTAACTGCCGTTGTGTAACAAAAACTGTGTATTTATTGGGTTACTTCCCTTGATTTATCCTGTTTTAAGTTACTTTCCTTTTAATAATGAAAATTTTTAAAAGAATATAAATAAAATATAAATTGAACAAATAATCATAAAAGGATGGTAAATAAATAATTTTAAATGTCTTAGGACAAATAAAACAATAATAATTTGAAAATTATTTGAGGATTCTATACTTCCTTTCAAGGCTTAAATTGAAATTTATATAATAATTATGACCCTTTGTTTTACAGTTAGAATGATTTTCTGAGTATGCAAACAAAAGCTATTTGCAGATAGTTAAACAAATGTTCTGGTTGCAATAAATGTTTTATAGAATATGAAGTAAAAAATTTAAAGAACATACTGAAAAAAAAAAATGTTAGATTGAACATGTAAAATATAAAGATGGAGAAACTTTATAAGTACAAGGGTACTATAAACATAATAAATTGGATGGAAAGTTGAAGAAAATACACTTTAAAAGACCATTTTTACAGCACACGGTTACATTTACGACAAAATTTATGTCGATTAAAAACCTCCTGATCTGAGTCCTAATCTCCTGACCAAAATTTCCCAATCTCCTGATCTGAGTTTCACAGTCCATCACATGTATGAATAGGTAAATTAAAAAATTATAAGTTCTTAGACCACTTTCATTCTGTGTCAGAAACCTATGCTGTGTCAAATATTTAATTACAATCCAAATTCAGTGCTGTATCAAGCTTGAATGTTGTGTCCATACTTGCCCCAACTGTTCAGGGTTTGACCTCTGCGGTCGTATCAAGCTGCGCCCCAGCAGAGCATTTTATTTGATATTAGATATGTACCCCGACTGGCAAGACCCTCATGGGTAGTCAAAGGTTGTTCAAAGGTCCTGTAGTAGTTTTTACACCCCTCCTTCCCCAAACAAATCAATTTGTATTTTTTTGCATAGCTTATTTAATTTATTTATTTAATAATATACAGGTATTACAAATTTACTTTGCAGTTCCCATAGACTTACAATCATCAAATGAATATGTGTTATGGTAGACTATGTCTTAATTGATTTTGTATATATGATTCTTGAAACATTTTAGTGCTGCATATTTTAATTTCCAGTGTAGTTATTATATTTTATAATGGGAATTACGTATTTTATATAGTCAATATCTAAGAGATGATATGGAAGGTGTATTAAATTTAATGAGTTTTGATTAGATTATCTTTGTGTGAGAGAGTTCATGATTGAAATACGTACTATGATTGATCATACCAGGATTGATCGACAGTAAACAGTTTAAGAGATGCGGTTTTCTTACATGATATTAAATCCAAAATTTATTTCTCAGAAGTTCTGAGGGTTTTGGGATGTTTGAATTCTACTCTTACTTTTGAAAGTTAATTCATTGACTAATTCTGTTTGATGATTAATGGGACCATTACAGAATTTTATTTCACATTTGATTAATAAATGTAATATGGTTTTAAACATGAATTCTGATTAAAAGATAGATTTTACTCTTTAAGATGCAGATTTTACTGTTATTTCCACGGTATTTTCACTACTGGCATTGCCATTTTTGCTTCTTTTTTGGTTTTTAGCCCAGACAAAATCATAAATCTTCTCTTTGATTTAGATGGAACAAAATGCTTGACCAGATGAAAAAACAAATACAATGCAAGTAGTTTTATTCAGGCATGTTAATTTTAGCTATTGAAAGAAAAAGACATGATTCCTGGAATTTTTAACTTGTATAATCATACCTTTTAAAGAACATATTTGTAAAAGTTTGTATTTAGTTCCAGATTATTAAATTTTGTGGGTTTATGAACTTGGTACACAAGGAACGGTAATTTTTGACCAGTAATGATTTCATGAAATTCATTAGATTAAGGGTAAAAGCCACTGTTAGGTATAACTTGAACTGTTTCAGGTCATGTGTGATTTTATTCAGGATTCAACAAATGTGATGGCGACAGATGTTTTGTATGTTATTCAGGGGAGATGACTCATCTTAGTCTTTTTTTTGGAGAAGGTAGGCCTGTTTAAATTGTCACTTTTACTATTTTGAGATTGTTAGGTGTTGAAATCACTGTGGTATATGGAACTGCCTGATTTGATTGACTCTTGCTTAATATCAACTAAGCTCAGCCTAAGTAATTGCATTTTTTTTGCTTTCAACACCCACTTTTCTCCAATAGTTCTTGTAACAATTTGGATAGAATTGATTACTTGGAAGAAAAAAGAAAGCAGGTGAAATGTCTTTGTTGTAAGATAAGGATTGATGGGAGTATGCATTTCAATTGTTTTGAATTAATGATTTGTATCTATTTATCAGGCTGTTGCCAGAAACATTATGTAAATAATAATTTGATTAAAATATCTGTTGCAAAGTTGTCTTGTTTGTTATTAACGCACTCCACTTCCATTGATTTGTCCAACAAATCTTTCTTTCACACTTTTCTCAAGTTTGAACATTTTTTACTCCAGACTACATTTAGATAATGAATGCAAAAATAAATTTGATAATAAAAATTAGATATTAAAATAACTTTCCTTTATCAGTAGAATAAGGAAAAATGGGGAAAAAAGCAAAGTTTTATTCTAGATGGTTACATCTTCATTATGATTATGAAGAAGCTTCTGTAAAATTTTATGAAATGTCAGGAATGCTATCATACCCTTAATTGGGAGTGGGGCTATATTGCAATCTCCTTGTCCATCAGTTCATCAGCTCACACTTTTGTGAAAACTACAAAACAGTGGTCATCAGCTTGACAGAGATTAGTTGTTAAGTGTGACCACTTTTCAGATATGTTGGACACCTGCTTCCTGGTTGCTGATACTTTAAATTTTCCAATATGATAAATGAACTAAACAAATTCTCTTCTTGCATTTGGTTAAAAGATTGGCCACAAGAGTAAGCCTTTTATAGTTGACTTTACTTTATTGGTTTGCTAATTTTTGGTGACCTACAGTTGCTTACAACCACATCATTTGGACTGGTGGATATTTTCGTCACGTTATTCTCCAGTACTACAGAACAGAATGGTTTCATATTTGACAGTGAAGAGTTGTAACTTGTTTTGCCTCAACGAAGTCATGGAGGCCAAACATAGGTGTGCTGTTTCTTTTGGTGTCAACAATTTGTTGAAGTTTGTTAATTAGGTCAGTTTAAGAGTTTAATAGTAAGTCAATGAAATTTGATATGCAGTTTTACTAGGATTAGCACATCTTATTTCGATGGAGATTATATGGCCATGCCCCTTCAGTCATTGTTTACATGCTAAAGTTTATGGGGAACAACTTATGATAAGTCAATGATATTTGGTATGCAATTAGATTAGCATTGGCATATCTCATTTCCATGGAGATTATTTGGCTCTGCACCTTTAGTCATGGTTCATTGACTGAATGTTTAGCATAGTTTACATGGTAAATAATTGACATTTTAATTTCAACATTTGCCTTTTATCATCAAAATTATATACAGGCAAGACATATCTCTGTGTCTGCAGTTTATTCTATCTTTCAGACATTTACTTCCTGTTTTCTGATACTTTGAATTATAAGTCAGGGTTTGCAAAATGCATATACAACTTTTTGTTTTGTTTCACATATATAATTGATTGTAAGGATTTACTATAAAAAAAAAAGTTTGTTAATCCTACGGACTTGTAAAGATACATTCTTATGTCCTATAGAAATTTGGAAGCAGCTAGACTTGCAGGTGTAAAATATGAAAAAAGACAGTCATAAATGTGGTAAATTATAAGTTTTAAAGCCATTTTCCTCTTAAATGTGACTTAAATCACAGCAATCATTAAATAACATCTGTTTCCGTTATCCAATGGAGGTGCATCAATGCCGATAACATTTGCAACGAACCTAGTGCCCTAGCGGCCACCTTATTTGAATTAAGCTTCAGTTAAAACAAAAGTCTATCCTGTACCATGTAGCTAGCTAGCGACAGTGGGTTGGAATCGATACATGATCCATTATTAGGATAATTTCACACTTCAACATTTGATACTCCACATTCCTGTAAATTTTAGAAAACGATCTTGACATTTTGTATCTTCTACCAAATCTCCTTTTAAACATTTTTGCAGTTCAAGAATTGTTGTCGTTGAATGAGGTTATAATAACTTCGTTTTCCTCGGATCAATTGATTGATAAAATACAAATAATGGATGGCTGCGCATTACAATGGTGGGCAATATTTTAACCATATACATTGTACAAGAGGAGAACATGTTGAAATCTTAGTTGTACTGGGCAGACAATCAAGCTGGATTTTTAACTTGCTAACTAATGATGAATCATCTGTAGGAACAAGTGTTTCCCCACTAGGACTAAACCTGACTCCAAGGCAACCAGACTACTCTAACTATAGTCAGTTTTGTGTGCTTTGTGGAGAAGCAAACTATTCAATCCTTAAGTTTTGGTATGACCCAGCTAGTGAATGAACTGACGATTTGTGTTGCTATAAAACCAGACACGAGGTCTACACATTACAAAGAACAACCCGAGTTTTACTGCGCTTGCATTTGCCAGAACGCATACCTTATTAAGGCTACGGTTTAAGTTTAAATCATGACCACGCACCTCATTTTTTATGCTGTCAAACTGGCGGTTACAGATACCATATAATATTCATGCTATTCGCATGTTTGTCTTTTCTGAATCTATTACCACCAATGACTATATTACTACCATTATGAGTGTACTATCTTAACCGTAGCCTCAGTTGGGAGTGTGCTACGCTCTGTGCACGTAACCGAATCGGAACAGCGATATATAAGAATTTAATTCTGAACTAACAAAATCAGATTGTTTTCCAATGGCAGTTTAAATTGTCCACCTCTTCACCTTGTTCCAAATTTGTCACTTACTACGCAAACATCAATCAATTTATATCGATAGTTGTCTTATCTTGTCTGACTCAAATGACACGCGAGTGCTGATTTTACTTTGACACTCAGTTTAAATTGTCTGCCTCTTTACCTTGTTTCAAATTTTCACTTACCACGAAAACGTCAATCAATTCTTTTCGGTAGCTAGTCACACGATTTCTTTTATCTTTCGCGACTCCATGAGACATGTGCACGAGTGCTGATTTTACTTTTACTAGGCCCTTTTCGGTGTCGCCTATTAGATCTTTAATCCAACATGTATGAAATATTTGACACTGGACTTGAACCAAATTATTACAAGTTTTTATTTCTTTTATCCATGATATATTTGCTCCTGGAAGACGTTGAATAAACAACAATCAACTAATCTGTTAAAATATTATAGTAAAAGTCAAAAAGGGGGAGGTGTAAGATACGAAGAGGTAAACAAATACTACGAGTCGTAAAAGATAAACAACACGTGCCATGACAAACGACGAACAAACAATAGTTCTTTAAATGTACAAAGTTTTCTGCAACAAGTACAATTCAAAAGCACATTTTTATGTATAAAAACGCAAAAAGATAATAAGTTTCCTGTTTATCTTGATATCTTGATACACCAAATATCTACACTACAACCATCTGAGATTCTCTGCTTACGTCCAAACTGTATAAATAGGAATCTTAACAATGGAAAATGTCTACACCAATTGACCAATAGCCGTTTTTTGGCTATTATTTTAGACGGTTTATGTCTTTCATGCTCCAAAATGCTTTCTTCGGCTTTTGTTTCTGAGAGTGTCTAAGATGTGTCCATAACAATTCATGCTTTTTTGCGATACGTATCACGTGCTTACATCAAACTGTCATTAAAGTTGCCAGACGACTTCATTGCTTTGAAAAATACCAAAAAAGTAAAAATAACAAAAATACCGAACTCCGAGGAAAATTCAAAACGGAAAGTCCCTGATCAAATGGCAAAATCAAAAGCTCAAACACATCAAACGAATGGATAACAACTGTCATATTCCTGACTTGGTACAGGCATTTTCTTATGTAGAAATGATGGATTAAACCTGGTTTTATAGCTATAGCTAAACCACAATATTGTTGTGAACCAATGTTATTTGGAAACAATGTCCTTTAATTTATAGAAATATGCGTTCATTACTATTTACCACTCTGTTTGATCATCGGCACAAAGTAATTATAATAGTATTTTATATACAACTTATACATATAAAAAAATGTACAGATAAAATAGCACCAGTGATTATATATACACGTGGGTTTTTCAATTACATGTACACACAAATTTGAATCAATGAATCATTGAATCATTATAGGAGAATGACAACAAGTGATATAAATAAACCTAAGCTATATCAACCTCAACTCAAATATATTTGTTATATGCTACATTGTATATTGTATAAAGATTTGACATAGCAGTCAGTCATGCCAATGACTTCTCTTAGCTTTTCAAAGATACGGACTCAGCATAGGAAAAAGATAAGTTCTTCCTGCACCAATCTTTGTTGAAGTTCTTAACTGGTTCTTTTCGTATCTTCACATCGAAATATCCATAAATGAAAGGATTTACTATATGGTGTAAAATAACAAACCTCGAAAAAAATTACGTAATATTTGTTCCCAGCAACTGATTCGTGATCGGATGGGTATATCACTACCAAGCTGGTTATTAATTCTTGGTATATACGACACAATTGCGATCACAATTATCAGGAAAAACATAAGATTTATCTTTGTTTTGTCAACTTCGTTTTTAGAGCGCTCAGAATCAGTTCTGCCTCTTGTCATTTGGATTTATTCGTTGATTATTTTGTTGTTCAAGTCACACAGGGGCAAACAGCTGGTACTGCAACAATATTTTGCATTCTTTTCCTTGAATCGTGCAATGAAATTCTATTCATGTGTTTATTTGATAATCGACTAAATAAGTTTATAGGGCTAAAACTGTACAATACTGTAGTCGCTAATATGTTTAGTGATATGACACACAAAATATTCGATCTCATCATGTGACGGGTAGAAAAGTGAGCATATGTTATATGTAATGGTTATATTCCCTGAAGTTTTGTCTACTTTATTCACTCCACCAAACACAAATGATTGTGAAGAATAACCGAATTCTTCTTCGGAATAAATTCAACTGCCTCCCGAATGGTCTGCAAAAAAGGAGATACCGATGAGTCGAGGAAAAAGCAGCAAAATATTCTACAAAAAACAGACGACGGCAGATGTACCCTGCATTAAAACATATGATTGCGTTTTGTATGCCAGTGGAACCAACCGTTAAACATTCAATGAAATCTATGGTGGCTAAAAATGATATGAAGAAACGTTCCCTGTTTTTGTCTGAAATCGACAAGACTACATAATTACAGCAACAATATTTCATAATGTTCAAGTGTGAGTAACACGCTACTATACCATACATATTCTACAAATACATTGTTTACTAATATTGTATT